CGTCTAACTATCAATTAAATTACAACAAAAACAAAAAAACAAATTAAATTTTGTAGGGTATTTTTAAGTATTTATTTTATTTTTATTTGAGTATACATTTTATTATAGGAGAATAATTTAATTTAATGAATTATACGTGAAATATTAATATTTTTCTAGGTAAAGTTTTCGACCTTTTCTGAAATTTTTTATTCAATGTCTCTATATAAATATGAAAAAAATTACCATATTGATTTTTACCTGCTACGGATACCCATATATTAGACAATACAATGGGTACTAATAGTTGCCTGTACTCGGGATATGTCTATGGTGAACATTCAAACGTCAAAATTTTCTTTAAATTATTCAAAACACTTGTATTTATTTTGTATATTTAAATTTGTATCTTTATCGTCATAGGTAATATCTTGTTCAAAAAAATAAATATTTTGTGCTGTATTGGGCTCATATAATAATCTGGTGTATATAATATGGTAACTAAACAATTATATTACACAGCCTATTAGAAGAATGCATTTACTAAGTAGTAATTATTTGTTTTTAAATATTGTACATACAATTTCAGCGTATCTTATATAGTATTGCAATAAGAGTTTTTAATTAGTAAAATAAATATACGTATAAACTGCATAATAGTATATGCACATATTTGTCCATACACGACTATGCAGTTTGTGTGAAATAATGATAATTTTGAATTATACTTTAAAATCAAGAAAACACTATTTTATACTACCGAAATAATTGCGACACCATTGATCCTTGTATTATTCAGAAGTTGTTCACGTATTTGTAGGAATATTTCTTTTTCACGACAGAGAACATATTTTATTTTTAGTAATTAAAAATATTGTCCCCAGTTAATGAGAAAATTAGACATTTTATTTGCAAATTCTGAATAATAATAGGATCATGATATTATCTGTTCGTGACATTTTAAATGTTTAACTAATATTGCATTTGACATGGCATGTATTCATTTTTACTGAATGGAATTATGAATGAATCGAAATTTTTTTAATTACATTCTTAAATAAAACATAATATAGCTATAAAAATACATTATATCGATTAGAAGTGAAGAGTTTTTAACTCATTTCATAATATTTGTATGAAAATCTGTTTTTTTTAAATCGTTGATAACATGAATTTTTAAATTATCAAAATAATTATAGAATACTTTTTAATTTAAAATATATAATATATAATGTATCATGGTTACATGTAAATAAACGTGATGATTATTCTATTCATTACAAATACATTCATTATTTTCGTGAAATGAACATTGATTGCATAAATATGCAACTGCGTACATTTGAAAACATATATAGAAAATAATCATTGCACATAATATTATACATAAAGTAAATTATGGAATTTATTTCAGTATAATACTATGTATCAATGTATAAGTATAGGCTTTAAATTGACTATATTGTTGTATAACTGGACAATATTTTATCGACTAAGATATGTTTTCCACTTTTAGTTAGAAGTTGGTACAGTATTAAAGCACATGTATAATATGTACATCATTGAATATCTTATACATCGTATATTAATTAATTTTTTTTTTTAAAAATGTAAGTATAACAAAGCAGAATAGTAGCGGTAGTTTTAGGAGTTAAATATATTAGACTAAATAGAACTTATTTGAGGTATAATTTTGATAATTGAACTATTTAACATTAAAATACTAAGGATTACACTAGTATTAGACTATCCTCAAACTTGTAATTACTGAAAGTATTTCTAGTAAATAAAGATATGAATAGATCGAGAAAATTTTATTTCAATGCTTTTGATGTAACAACTGTTTAGGTACGAATGTCAGCCAATCATCTTAAAATTTTAATTACAACACAGCACAAGGGGACTCGAGTTGTATATCATCGTACTATAGTTTTACATGATTTAACAATAATTGCTGTGTACATCGTTATAATTATTTCATAACTGTGTAGGTTTTCGAAACCAGAATATTGAGAATCTGCTAAACGACGTGTCTAAAACCACAGTAGGACGGCTTGTTAGTATCTAGTCAAATAGTAATTTAATAGATTTGATATTGTTTCACCTTCGATACAAGACATGATCATTGTGTTTACCGATCAATTGTAAGTATTGACGATTCGGTTGAATACACCGTATATGTTGTGTTTGTACAAGCGGAAGTGTGTCTTATAATATGTAGATTACTCTAATACGTATGGGTAATATTAATTTTGAGAAGCGTGGATTACATTATGTCAAAATTGAAAACTGACGTAACAATAATCGAATGTTTCCAGTAAAGTGATTGTAGGGGGAAAATCAGACATTTTTTGCACGTGGGCGTTGGTTTCAGTTGAGGTTCGGTTTTCCTAATTATTAAATACAATGTGTGTTTCAGAGATATGATACGAGTATAGTTGTACAGTCGAAAATCGATTAATTACGATTTTCATTAAATTCTCAAAATATATACTCTTGTAACTCTTTCAGATTAAATCGAACCGATAGATTTGAATCTAAATCGCAATGTACTTGTTAAGCATATTTTTTCTTCCTGATAATTTGTTTTTAAAACCATAAAAATATAGAAAGGTATTTTCTGCAAATTGTTAATTTGTCAATAATTTTAACAGCTGAGGATGAATGCGTCTAACGCCACGAGTTCTCTCCTAAGTTATATACAACAAGATCAATGCTACCAGTAATTAAAAACTGGGCACTATATTATATAATGTTGCAGACGTCTGAGAATGAAACTTTCGTTATAATACGCCATATTACCGAGTGTCACGTTTGTAGAAAATTTACTGCGCTTTAATTCAGACGCGTTGTAGGTACTTGGGTGCTCACAATCCGACAAGAATGTAATAATAAAATACTAAAATGCGTTCCACAACATTGCAAATAAATCGTCTATTATTAATTTCACGAAAGTATACGTAGAACAAGTATATTTAAGTGCAACAAAAGTATAATAATATATTGGAGTTCATTTCACGAATATAATTGTTTTACTATGACTATAACTGTACATTATGACACTATATTTTTATGTCTTATGGGTTTCATTAAATTATATTCATTTTGGTAATGTGTTAACACGATTTTAATACATTTGTCACCTTAAGCCTTACTTAATACCCTCTCCATAAAAATAAAATGTATATTTACGATAACATGCTAGATGTATTATAAATCTAAAAATCACATATTATAATACCGTATAAAATAATTTAGAAATATTTTACACTTTATATTTTGTTCGCAGTAAAATTATTATTTATTATCGAAGTAAATTATAATACCATAAAAGTCAATCCATTGAACTGGTTCATCTATTTATTGGTGAGGCGGAATAAGAAAGAATAAATGGTGCAATTATATAATTATGTATGTAGACGAGGAAAAAATTTTGAATAAATTATAGTTTGTCGTAGTACTATATCTGGGGGAATTATATTATTTTAATTACTGTAAAATGTTATTTAATGTTTTAAGAGATAATAAAAGCTTTAAAATATTAACAAGTAAATTAAATATTATATATAATATTGGATTAAACATAATTCAAAATGTGCCAGTGCATAAATCGTAGAATTTTAAGTAGACAGATGTGCTTTTTAACGGTGCACTTTTTCTTTAATAGATCAGTTCAAAATAATATTTTAAACTAACGGATTATTAAATATTTTTTGATAAGAATACTATTATTATTGTATATTCTAAAATCTTATTATAATTGATTTTTAGGTATCAACGTTCATGATCTTTTAAATATGAGGTATTATTGGCATTTTATTAAAGACTATACCACAAATATGCAGTCTAGATGATTTAAATAAAATAATATCATGCAGTTGTTGAATAGATAAAAACTTACCTTTGTTGTATAAAATTATTTTCACACCATACACTATAGGAAAATGGATTTTATTGTATTTAAATCAGGGGCGTATTTAGGGGGGGGAAAGGGGCGATACCCCCCTGAATCCGTATTTAAGAAATCGATCATATGTGAGATACACATTTTAATTTTTTTTAATGTGGATCATTTTATAACGATACTTAGTGAAAAATCAAATAAAACACAAGTGTAACTTTCAAAACACAGATAGGTGTTAAAAAAGAACTACTCAAAAGTCAATTGTAAGTGGATCCGGCATTAGTTAAAAAAAAAAAATCACAAATATTAAGGATTCACCTGATTTAAATATTACCAAAAATTTTACTTATAAATTTTGATCCTGAATTAAAGAAAAAAAATTGAGTCGCCCCCCTCCCCTAGAAGTAAGTTTAAATACGCCCCTGATTTAAATAGATTGTATACATGTAACAACAGGGATGGGCATTTTTATACTAGTTTTGTAAATATTTCTATTAATTTGTTATATATTAAAAGAAGTGTATAGGTAGTATTTTTAATTTGTCCATCCCTGTGTTGATCGAGAAAACATTCAAAGCTATATGACACGATTCAAGTATAATAAATAGGATTTAGGCGAGTTGATGTCTATAGTAAACTAAAGGGTAAACACAAACTGAGGTAGAGCAGGCACATGCAACAATGGGGTGAATAAATAAATATAAGTAATAGTAATAGTAACAATAACAAACACAGAAGTATTTAGTTTTTTTTATAAACAGTTGTGTATAATTAAAATAAAACTGAATATTTTATCTCCTTTCTATGTCAGATTTCTAATGTATTATTATTTAAAATGGCCGTGGAAACAATAAAAACACATGCGGAAGCATTGGTTTAACAATAAAATTTAGTAATAAATATAATAAAATGAATTATAGTATTAGTAGTCATAGTAGTAATAATAATGATAATAATAATAATAATAATAATAATAATAATAATAATAATAATAAT